GAGGTCCTTCGGCTGCTGAGGGTGCTGCGGTCGCGGGTCTCGGAGGTGCTCGTCCTGGGTGCACTGGAGCTGGTGCTGCTGAGGGTGTTGGCGCTGAGACTACCGCTGGCAGTCCTACTGGGGGTGCTCCTGGTGCTGCTGGAGGTTCTGGAGCTACTGGTGGTGCTGCTGGAGCGGGTGCTCCTGCTGAGGGTTCTGGTGCTGTCCCTGCTGCTTCTAGCGTCGCCGCGCGGCCTCGACCGTACTTCGTTCCACTCCTGCAGCAGGTTCTTGGTCTTCCACCTTCTACTGGTCCTCCTCCTCCCTTAGAGTGTCCACAGCCTGTCTCGTCCCAGCTACAGTTGCAGCCTACCTCCCCTTTGCCTGCTCCTTCTCCCTACACTTATCCTACTGGAGGTCTGGCTGAGCGTCGTGAGCCTGCGTCTCGCCCTGCGTCGCCTGTCCGTGCTGCTCGCACTAGTGGTCGCGGTTCGCGTCAGCGTCCTCCTCCTGTCCCTGGCACGCACCGGATGTCTCTGCGTCCGTCCACTGCTCCTCTGCGTGCCCCTTTGCCTTCTCCTCCTGAGTCCTCTCTTCCTGCTCTTGCCGACCCGGAGTCGGACTCTCTTCGTGCTGCCAGTCCTACTGTCACGCGTCTCCTTGCTACTGTTGTCACTGACCCTTCTTTCGAGTCTACTGCTGCGTCTGCTCTCGTTACTGAGCTCGTCGACTTTGCTGCTCGCTGTCGCTTAGACTACGCTGCTAGTCTTGTCGCTGAGTCTGAGTCTGTCTGTCCTCCGTCCGTCGGGGGTGAGTGTGCCCTTGGCACGGACGTCCTTGAGGACAGGCAGGAGGAGTTCCAGTGTCTGGCAGCTGCCTCACCTCATCTCGTGTCCGTACTGCTTACCCCTGAGGGAGACCCGGATGCACTTGACATCCCGACTCCGCGCTCTTACGCGGAGGCGATAGAGGGTCCCTACTCCTCTCAGTGGCAGGCAGCTATGGACGCAGAGATGGCTTCTTGGAAGTCCACAGGCACCTACGTTGACGAGGTTCCCCCGCCTGGGGCGAACATCGTCAGTGGCATGTGGATTTTCAGGGTGAAGCGGCCGCCGGGTTCTCCGCCTGTCTTCAAGGCGCGTTACGTGGCTCGTGGCTTCAGTCAGCGGCAGGGAGTTGACTACTTTCAGACCTTCTCCCCCACCCCGAAGATGACCACTCTTCGGGTACTGCTGCACGTTGCTGCTCACCGTGACTACGAGCTGCACTCTCTTGACTTCAGCACAGCTTTCTTGCAGGGCAGCCTGCACGAGGAGATCTGGCTGCGTCGCCCACCTGGCTTCACTGGGTCTTTCCCTTCTGGTACCCAGTGGAGTCTCCGGCGTCCAGTCTACGGTCTCCGCCAGGCGCCACGTGAGTGGCACGACACACTGAGGACTACACTTGCGGCTCTTGGGTTTGCTCCTTCTACTGCCGACCCGTCGCTGTTTCTACGCACCGACACCTTGGCTTGCAGATCACCCGGGACATTGCACGCCGCACCATTACCCTGACTCAGTCACACATGGTGCAGCAGGTCCTTCAGCGCTTCGGCTTCACGTACTCCTCGCCTCAGGCCACTCCTCTGTCTACTCGCCACTCGCTCTCAGCTCTGCCTTCGGATGAGTCCGTAGAGTCGAGTGGCCCGTACCCAGAGCTTGTTGGCTGCCTCATGTACCTGATGACCTGCACACGACCTGACCTTGCATACCCTCTTAGCATTCTTGCACGCTATGTTGCTCCTGGGAGACACAGACCAGAGCACATGGCTGCAGCGAAGAGGGTGTTGCGCTACTTGTGCAGTACGTCGGGCATGGGGCTAGTGCTTGGAGGGCGGAGTCCAGTGGTCCTCACTGGGCACGCGGACGCTTCTTGGGCTGACGACCAGGCTACGCAGCGCTCGTCACAGGGTTACACCTTCAGCCTTGGTTCCGGCTCTGTTTCGTGGCTGGCTACTCGCTCGTCTTCTGTTCTTGGCTCGAGTTGTGAGGCTGAGATCTACGCCGGGGCCATGGCTGCACAGGAGCTTCGCTGGCTCACCTACCTGCTGACCGACCTTGGAGAGCCGCCTCGTTCTCCTCCAGTCCTGTACGTAGACAACAAGGCCATGCTGGCCTTGTGTCGAGAGCAGCGACTGGAGCACAGAACAAAGCACATTGCTCTCCGCTACTTCCTTGCTCGTGAGCTACAGCAACGTGGTCAGTTGCGGCTTGCGTACGTGGCCTCTGAGGCCAACACTGCTGATGTCTTCACCAAGGCACTTCCGCCTTGTGATCATCAGCGCTTCTGCACTCAGCTGGGTCTTGTGCCCGTCTTGCCTCACTTGCTCTCCTCTTGACCTTGCCTGTACTCTCACATATATATATACCTGTTCTTGCTTGTCTAGCTTTATATATATGTGTGTACTCTTGCATGTGAACTGGCCGTGTGGCCTTGACCCTGTGCTCGGACTGTGTGGTGACTTTGTGATCCACCCTGAGCTTGCTTTGCTTTACTTTGCTTGACTGGTCTTGTGACCCCTTGTTCTCCCCCACTTTGCCTATGGGGGTGTGTCAGAACATTGTAGCTTATGCTGTTGTGTAGGCTATAGTGGGGTATCCCATAGGGGGTACAACCAATTAGGGTTTCATATTTGTACTCACTTCATTTCATAGTTCACCCATTCTTGTTCAAATCTTCTCAACATTCGACACATCTAGCGGGATATTCGCTTCGCTGACATGTGTGGCCGTGTTGTCAAAGGTCCACTAGTGATCCCCGATTGATCCTAGGGAAGGGTTACAGGCTCATTGTCGGGGGGGGTTATGGGCGCACTGACCCGCTACTTAACAAGCCCTTCTATCCCAATGGTCAAGTGGTTGGGATTCTGACACGTATGCAATTGTTGTTCGTTATTTCCATCTGACCGTTCAGTTTTATTCACACATGTTTTTGTAATTAAACTATGTATGTGCATCCAATCTTCCCGACTGACTGTATTCTCCATTTTTTTTTCGTTGTTTTATGTTGTTTTTCCTTGCCCGCCCTCACTCGTTTCCCGTCAGTCCAAGTAGCGCGCTGCTGGACTCCTTCCTTTTCCCCTCCCTCTTTACTCCTCCACCCCACTCCATTCCTCACGCTAGCCTTTATGTAACATCACCATCCCTTCACGATTTCGTCAGTTCTTCCTTCACTGGGAACTTCTCCTGCTGCTTGGTTTCCTTCACTACTGCTCTTAGTTCACGCCGAAGTAGTCTTAGCCATGGCAATCGGTTTCGTCTATCATCGATTTCCCTGCGGATGGCAAGCTTCAGGTAATCACTTGTCTTCGTTGAAGCGCTTAGCATTTCCGAATCCCGCAGTGTTGTGTTTCTATGTTTTTCTTTTCGTTTTGTTTCTGTTTTTCGTGCAGTTTTACTTCTGCTCTTACATGCCAGGTTGTGATTTCGATGATCTTTGAAGAACAGAACACATGAATGTCGTCTTTTGACTTACTGTCTGCAGCTGTTTTCTTGTCTCCGGTAGGTATAAAGTCACTAGGTTAGACATGGTTTTTCCTATGATTCTCGACTAACTCTCAGTGCTAGTGTACTCTTGTTCTCTTGATTTTGCTGGATCGTGATTACAGGGTTCTCGAGTTTTATTTCAAACACGCCCTTCGGCCATCGTAGAATCACGATCAGTTTAACGCGTGTTTTAAGTGTTGTTTAGATCTGCATGCTTGTTACCTTGTATCTATTGATATTCTTTTTTTGTAACATTTCATGCTATAAATATTGGCTATGATAGGCAACCAGATTTCATGGAGAACTAGCTTATTAACTTCGTTAGAAATGACATGCTAAGCCGTTTTTAAACGGCTCGCAATATAAATGTACAAATTTAACATTAGAAATTATAAATTTAACGCGCATTTCTGACATTATGAAGTTACCAGGTTACCATGTTGTATTATAATTCATTTCATAACTTCTTATGTGTTTGCACCCTGACTGGATTTTACTGTACACATTTGTATCGCGTAAGGGAGCATGTTGAAAACAGTTGAACAACTCGAGTTACCAAATAGCATTTCGATCTTCGCGAGCAAATACGATGATCCAGCAACCAACCAGATGCGAGCCAGGGCCCATACTGCGTCTTGCGAAGTCGCACTTTACACTCTCGATGGCGAATCACAGCGCTAGAATTTTTTTCCGACCCCCAAAACCTCATCGCAAGCACAAGGTAACCCACTGTCGTGCGCAAATAAGACACCATACAATCGGAGTTGCGATCTTAGTAACTCTTCCGTAGGTTTACATTCGGAAGGCTCAAACCTGGCACACCTACATCAAGTATGTTTCCCAGAAACCGAAACGCAGCTTTCTGATGAGCAGCCGAGCAGTAACTCGTAAGTAGTTTTACAGTAGGTTTTTCAACCCCCCATTTTTTAGATGTCCGCCCTCCCCCATCCCCCCTCGCTCCCCCATTCCTCCGCCCTTCCCCATCCCCACGCGCCATCCTCCAACCCCGCGGGCGCACCCGTCCCTCCCCGCCCTTCCCCTGCGCCGCGACCGGCGCAGCGCATGATGCCACGTGGCCCGTTGCAGCAGATGCCACGTGGCACATTGCAGCATATGCCACGTGGCGCAGAGACAGGCGCCGTACAGCATGCGAGGATGTATGAACGGAGAGTGGAGGGATTGGGCAGAGGGCATGGTGTGAGCGGGGGGGGTAACATGCAGTCGCATATCCCTGAGGCGCATCAAGAATGGAGAGTGGGGGGATTGGACGGTGGGCGCGATATAAGTGGAGGAAATAACACACTGCAGATTGTGTCGCACAACCAGTCGCACAACCAGTCGCACAACCAGAGGCACGATCAGTCGCCGTTGTCGCATTATTCGTTGCAGCAGCAGTCGCAGTATCATTCGCACTACCCATTGCAGCAGCAGCAGCATCAGATGAAACATCAGGTGCAACATCATCAGTCACCGTACAACTTGCAACACCAGCATCAGATGCAGCAGCAGCACCCATCAGACCTTCCATTACAGCAGCAGAACCACCAGCAGCAGCAGCAACACCACCACCATCAATCCGAGCAGCAGCAGCAGAACCAACAGCAGCAGCAGCAGCAGCAGCAGCAGCAGCAGCAGCAGCAGCAGCAGCAGCAGCAGCAGCAGCAGCAGCAGCAGCAGCAGCAGCAGCAGCAGCAGCAGCAGCAGCAGCAGCAGCAGCAGCAGCAGCAGCAGCAGCAGCAGAACCAACACCACCAGCAGCAAGAAGCCGAGTACGCATTACAACAGCAGCAGTCAAAGAAAAAGCTGAAGAGGAAACTGGACCAACTCACTTCCGTGATGGAAGATGTGAGTTTATTGCGCTTTAACTAATGTGAGCGCCTTTTTAGTTACCTCCTTAGTTGCATCAAAGCACAGGGTAGACCAACTCACATCTGTGGTGGAAGATGTGAGCTGCCCACTTGCTCTCCCCATTCCCCACCCCCTCAATATTTCCTTTTTCCAACCTATGCTTTTGCCGCAACTTCTGTCACATTGTTGTTTTTTTACACATCGTTTCTTACGCGGATCGTTGTTTTTACACATACTTTCATGATCATTAGATTTTTTTAGTCAGGTAACCTGTATTCCCACCCTCAGTATACCATGCAACCTCCCTTTCTACGCTCCCCGTTTTAGTTGGAACGGCAGGCAGCAGCATTGGCTCAGCTGAGGGATGTGCGGAGGGGTAAGGGGAGGGGAGGGGCTATGGATATCTTGAGACTTCCTAATCCGTACCAACTCCTAATCCTCAACCCTTTTCGTTTCCTCCCCTCCCTCTTCCCCGTGCCAGGCCCAGTTGGAGCGGCAGGCAGCAGCCTTAGCCCAGCTGAGGGACGTGCGGAGGAGGAGCATAGAGGGGGCAAGAGGGACCGCTTGAGTCTCTTACCCCTCTCCTCATCCCAACTCTAGAAAACCCTTTCCCTCCCCTCCTGCTCCCCTGCCAGTTGGAGCAGCAGGCAGCAGCCTTAGCCCAGCTGAGGATCGTGCGAAGGAGGAGCAGGGGACCAGGGGAGGAGGGGCCATGGACGGGCTTTAACGTTCCTCCACGCCCTCTCCTTTCCCCCACTCAGTCCTCTCCTTACTCCCCCTCCCTTCCCCTCCCTTCCCCCCCAATCCTGATTTTGCCAGTTGGAGCGGCAGGCAGCAGCATTGGCCCAGCTGAGGGACGTGCGGAGGAGGAGCAGGGGAGCGGGAGGGAAGGAGCAGCAGCAGCAGCAGCAGGTGCATCGTCAGGAGCAAAAGAAGCAACAGCAGCAGCAGCACACCCACCAGAACCAGCAGCAGCAGCAGAAACAGGGTCACCATCAGCAGCAGCAGCAGCAGCAGCAGCAGCAGCAGCAGCAGCAGCAGCAGAAGCAGCAGCAGGAGCAGGCTCACGAGCAGCATATCGATGCTGTGATAGCAGCAGCGGCAGCGGGGGGAGGGGGGGGAATAGCCGGAGGAGTGGGGCTGGAGGGGCTGGGCATGATGGGGGTGAAACGGGCAGTGAGGGAGGAGGGGGGGAGGGTGGCGAGGGTGAGAGCAAAGAGAATGGCTGACATGCTGCAGCGAGCAGGCAGCATCGTGAAGCAGGTGAGTGGTGCTGTGCGTTGATTTGCGGTGCTGTGTGGTGCTGTGCGGTGCATTGCGGTGCTGTGTGGTGCTGTGCGGTGCTGAGGCGAGAGGTGGATAGCTGGGGAGATGTGGGGGATGGGGGGGTGAAGCGGGCAGTGCGGGAGGAAGGGGGGAGGGTGGCGAGGGTGAGAGCAAAGAGAATGGCTGACATGCTGCAGCGAGCAGGCAGCATCGTGAAGCAGGTGAGTGGTGCTGTGCGGTGCTCTTCGGTGCTGTGCAGTACTGTATAGTACTGTGCGGTGATTTGTGGTGCTGTGCGGTGCTGAGGGGAGAAGTGGATCTGGGGAAGGAAGTGTGGGGCATGCATTGGGGGAGTGAAGGGGGCAGTGAGGGAGGAGGGGGGGAGGGTGGCGAGGGTGAGAACAAAGAGAATGGCTGACATGCTGCAGAGGGCAGGCAGCATTGTGAAGCAGGTGAGCGGTGCTGTGTGGTGCTGTGTGGTGCTGTGTGGTGCTGTGCGGTTCCCATGTCCCTCTGCCCCTCTTATGCCATCTCACCCATTCCTACGTGGCAGCTACTAAAGCACAGGTTCGGATTAGTGTTGGTCAAGCCTCTCTGCCCGCTTACCTTCTCTCCCCTCTTCCTGGTAGCTTCTGAAGCACAGGTTCGGGTGGGTGTTTGCCGAGCCTGTGGACGCAGAAAGTTTGGTTCTGCCCGATTACCATGAGATCATCAGCCAACCCATGGAGCTGGGCATTATTGAGTCGCCTTTGATTGCATCCCATGGGTGTGCCTGTATGTGGCCCCCCTCTGCCCTCCCCCTCCCCCTGTCCCTCCACCCCCTTTACACCCTCTTGCCCCCATTCCTCCCCCACAGCTTTTGAAGCACAGGTTCGGGTCGGGTGGGTGTTTGCCGAGCCTGTGGACGCGGAAAGTTTAGGTCTGCCCGACTACCATGAGATCATCAGCCATCCCATGGACCTGGGCACCCTCCGCTCAACTTCTGGCCTCCTACCCCCTTCTGCCCTCTGCCCCCCTCTGCCTTCCCCCCCCGCCCCCCTTCTGCCCTCTACCCCCCTTACACCCTGTTCTCCCCGTTCCTACCTGGCAGCTTCTGAAGCACAGGTTCGGGTGGGTGTTTGCTGAGCCTGTGGATGCGAAAATTTTGGGTCTGCTTGACTACCATGAGATCATCAGCGAGCCCATGGACCTGCCTGCATGGCCCCTCCTTCTCCCCCACCTCCTCTGCCCTCTACAACCCCCTCTGCCGCCCCCCCCTTCTGCCCTCCGCCCCCTTTCTGCCCTCCGCCCCCTTTCTGCCCTCCCCCTCCTTACACCCTCTTTCCCCCATCACTCTTCTACAGTTGCTAAAGCACAGGTTCGGGTGGGTGTTTGCCGAGCCTGTGGACGCGGAAAGCTTAGGTCTGCCCGACTACCATGAGATTATCAGCGAGCCCATGGATCATGGATCTTGTGCCATCCGCCCCCTCTCGTGCCCCCTCTCGTGCCCCCTCTCGTGCCCCCTCTTGCCCCGTTCCCTGTGCCCTCTGCCCGACTACCACGAGATCATCAGCGAGCCCATGGATCATGGATCTTGGATCTTGTGCCATCCGCCCCCTTATCTGGGCCCCCCCGCCCTTTCTGCTCCCCACCCCCACTATCGGCCCTCCGTCTCCCCTACACCCTCTGCCCCTACGTCCCCTCAAATCCGTCCCTACAGCTACTGAAGCACAGGTTCGGGTGGGTGTTTGCTGAGCCTGTGGACGCGGAAAGCTTAGGTCTGCCCGACTACCATGAGATCATCAGCCATCCCATGGACCTGGGCACCATCCGCTCCCACCTCGTCCAATCACTTGCTGCCACGCGGGCAGACGGGGCAGCCGAGGGAAAATTTGGAGAAGAGGGAAAAGGAGCAGCAGCAGGAGAAGCAGAAACTACTGCTGCTGCTGCTGCTGCTGCTGCATCGCAGCCCCCTCACTATAGTCACGTGACAGAGGTGGCAGGGGATGTGCGGCTGGTGTTTGCAAATGCGATGAAGTACAATGGACCGGGATCAGAGGTGAGAGGGGGTTGGGAGGGAGTGAGATTGGGTTGAGAAGACTGAGAGGGGATTATGAGGAGTGAAAGAGGGTTATGTGGAGTGAGAGGGGGTTGAGGGGAGTGATTTGGGATTGCAAGGGACGTGCGGCTGGTGTTTGCTAATGCGATGAGGTCCAATGGACCGGGATCAGAGGTGAGAGGATGGTTGAGAGGAGTGAGAGGGAGTGGGGTGAGTGAAGTGAGAGCATGGATGGTTGCATCCTGTTGCTTGTACGGATGGCTGGTGTTTGCCAATGCCATGAAGTACAATGGACCGGGGTCAGAGGTGAGAAGGGGTTGAGTGGAGTGAGATTTGGTTGAGAAGACTGAGAGGGGATTATGAGGAGTGAGAGGGGGTTGTGAGGAGTGGGAGGGTGTTGATGGGACGTGCGGCTGGTGTTTGCCAATGCGATGAAGTACAATGGACCGGGGTCAGAGGTGAGAGGAGGTTGGTTGGGAGGAGTGAGAGGGGGTTGAGAAGGGGTTGTTGTGAGGTGTGGGAGGGGGTCGAGGGCAGTGATTCGGGATTGCAAGGGACATGCGGCTGGTGTTTGCTAATGCCATGAAGTACAATGGACCGGGGTCAGAGGTAAGAGTTGGTTGAGAGGGGGTTGTGAGGAGTGAAGGGGGGGGGTGGGAGGAGTGATTTATTGCGTTTGCCGATGTGATGAAGTACAATGGACCGGGGTCAGAGGTGAGAGGGGGTTGGGAGGAGTGAGAGGGGGCTGGGAGGAGTGAGATTGCGTGAGAGTTTGTTGTGAGGAGTGGGAGGGGGTTGAGGGGAGTGATTTGGGTTTGCAAGGGACGTGCACTATGCTGTAACCCATTCAACCATCCACCCACCCATCCCATCCCACCCCTCCAGGTCTACCTCATGGCCCAGGCTCTCACTGCACTCAGTTGTTATCCAACAAACATCCATCCTTACATTCATCCCATCCCACCCCCCAGGTGTATCTTATGGCCCAGGCTCTCTCAGACCGATTTGAGGAGAAGTGGCAAGCTGTCATGCTGCCGAGGATACAAGAGGAGGTGAGATCAAGGAGATCAAGGAGATCAAGGAGATCAAGGAGATCAAGGAGATCAAGGAGATCAAGGAGATCAAGGAGATCAAGGAGATCAAGGAGATCAAGGAGATCAAGGAGGTAAGGCAGGTAGGCAGCATGAGGGCATGGGGACGTCTAAAGCAAGTGCAATGCACCGCTCTGACCCCAGAAGGAAAGAAGGCACATGAAACGGACGAACCAGCGGCGCACAGAGGAGGAGCAGCTGCAGGTGTTTGAGAGCCGATTAGGGAGCTGTGAATGTGTTCGCTCATAGTGGAAGAGCAGCAATTCTAAAGAGTGACGCTTAAAGCAACAGAAGGAAACGAAACAGAAATTCTTTCCTGGAAAAATGATCAGTAGAAACATTAAAAACCCTTCACTAACGAGAATCTAACGAGGGGGGTGGGTCAAGAACAAGGGCTGTGAATGTGTTGATAACGTGTTCCCGCCTGTGAATGTGTTGATAACGTGTTCCCGCCTGTGAATGTGTTGATAACGTGTTCCCGCCTGTGAATGTGTTGATAACGTGTTCCCGCCTGTGAATGTGTTGATAACGTGTTCCCGCCTGTGAATGTGTTGATAACGTGTACCCGCCTGTGAATGTGTTGATAACGTGTTCCCGCCTGTGAATGTGTTGATAACGTGTTCCCGCCTGTCAATGTGTTGATAACGTGTTCCCGCCTGTCAATGTGTTGATAACGTGTTCCCGCCTGTGAATGTGTTGATAACGTGTTCCCGCCTGTCAATGTGTTGATAACGTGTTCCCGCCTGTGAATGTGTTGATAACGTGTTCCCGCCTGTGAATGTGTTGATAACGTGTTCCCGCCTGTGAATGTGTTGATAACGTGTTCCCGCCTGTGAATGTGTTGATAACGTGTTCCCGCCTGTGAATGTGTTGATAACGTGTTCCCGCCTGTGAATGTGTTGATAACGTGTACCCGCCTGTGAATGTGTTGATAACGTGTTCCCGCCTGTGAATGTGTTGATAACGTGTTCCCGCCTGTCAATGTGTTGATAACGTGTTCCCGCCTGTCAATGTGTTGATAACGTGTTCCCGCCTGTCAATGTGTTGATAACGTGTTCCCGCCTGTCAATGTGTTGATAACGTGTTCCCGCCTGTGAATGTGTTGATAACGTGTTCCCGCCTGTGAATGTGTTGATAACGTGTTCCCGCCTGTGAATGTGTTGATAACGTGTTCCCGCCTGTGAATGTGTTGATAACGTGTTCCCGCCTGTGAATGTGTTGATAACGTGTTCCCGCCTGTGAATGTGTTGATAACGTGTTCCCGCCTGTCAATGTGTTGATAACGTGTTCCCGCCTGTCAATGTGTTGATAACGTGTTCCCGCCTGTCAATGTGTTGATAACGTGTTCCCGCCTGTGAATGTGTTGATAACGTGTTCCCGCCTGTGAATGTGTTGATAACGTGTTCCCGCCTGTGAATGTGTTGATAACGTGTTCCCGCCTGTGAATGTGTTGATAACGTGTTCCCGCCTGTGAATGTGTTGATAACGTGTTCCCGCCTGTCAATGTGTTGATAACGTGTTCCCGCCTGTCAATGTGTTGATAACGTGTTCCCGCCTGTCAATGTGTTGATAACGTGTTCCCGCCTGTCAATGTGTTGATAACGTGTTCCCGCCTGTGAATGTGTTGATAACGTGTTCCCGCCTGTGAATGTGTTGATAACGTGTTCCCGCCTGTGAATGTGTTGATAACGTGTTCCCGCCTGTGAATGTGTTGATAACGTGTTCCCGCCTGTGAATGTGTTGATAACGTGTTCCCGCCTGTCAATGTGTTGATAACGTGTTCCCGCCTGTCAATGTGTTGATAACGTGTTCCCGCCTGTCAATGTGTTGATAACGTGTTCCCGCCTGTCAATGTGTTGATAACGTGTTCCCGCCTGTGAATGTGTTGATAACGTGTTCCCGCCTGTGAATGTGTTGATAACGTGTTCCCGCCTGTGAATGTGTTGATAACGTGTTCCCGCCTGTGAATGTGTTGATAACGTGTTCCCGCCTGTGAATGTGTTGATAACGTGTTCCCGCCTGTGAATGTGTTGATAACGTGTTCCCGCCTGTGAATGTGTTGATAACGTGTTCCCGCCTGTCAATGTGTTGATAACGTGTTCCCGCCTGTCAATGTGTTGATAACGTGTTCCCGCCTGTCAATGTGTTGATAACGTGTTCCCGCCTGTGAATGTGTTGATAACGTGTTCCCGCCTGTCAATGTGTTGATAACGTGTTCCCGCCTGTGAATGTGTTGATAACGTGTTCCCGCCTGTGAATGTGTTGATAACGTGTTCCCGCCTGTGAATGTGTTGATAACGTGTTCCCGCCTGTGAATGTGTTGATAACGTGTTCCCGCCTGTGAATGTGTTGATAACGTGTTCCCGCCTGTCAATGTGTTGATAACGTGTTCCCGCCTGTGAATGTGTTGATAACGTGTTCCCGCCTGTGAATGTGTTGATAACGTGTTCCCGCCTGTGAATGTGTTGATAACGTGTTCCCGCCTGTGAATGTGTTGATAACGTGTTCCCGCCTGTGAATGTGTTGATAACGTGTTCCCGCCTGTGAATGTGTTGATAACGTTTTCCCGCCTGTCAATGTGTTGATAACGTGTTCCCGCCTGTGAATGTGTTGATAACGTGTTCCCGCCTGTGAATGTGTTGATAACGTGTTCCCGCCTGTGAATGTGTTGATAACGTGTTCCCGCCTGTGAATGTGTTGATAACGTGTTCCCGCCTGTGAATGTGTTGATAACGTGTTCCCGCCTGTGAATGTGTTGATAACGTGTTCCCGCCTGTGAATGTGTTGATAACGTGTTCCCGCCTGTCAATGTGTTGATAACGTGTTCCCGCCTGTGAATGTGTTGATAACGTGTTCCCGCCTGTGAATGTGTTGATAACGTGTTCCCGCCTGTGAATGTGTTGATAACGTGTTCCCGCCTGTGAATGTGTTGATAACGTGTTCCCGCCTGTCAATGTGTTGATAACGTGTTCCCGCCTGTCAATGTGTTGATAACGTGTTCCCGCCTGTGAATGTGTTGATAACGTGTTCCCGCCTGTGAATGTGTTGATAACGTGTTCCCGCCTGTGAATGTGTTGATAACGTGTTCCCGCCTGTGAATGTGTTGATAACGTGTTCCCGCCTGTGAATGTGTTGATAACGTGTTCCCGCCTGTCAATGTGTTGATAACGTGTTCCCGCCTGTCAATGTGTTGATAACGTGTTCCCGCCTGTCAATGTGTTGATAACGTGTTCCCGCCTGTCAATGTGTTGATAACGTGTTCCCGCCTGTGAATGTGTTGATAACGTGTTCCCGCCTGTGAATGTGTTGATAACGTGTTCCCGCCTGTGAATGTGTTGATAACGTGTTCCCGCCTGTGAATGTGTTGATAACGTGTTCCCGCCTGTGAATGTGTTGATAACGTGTTCCCGCCTGTGAATGTGTTGATAACGTGTTCCCGCCTGTGAATGTGTTGATAACGTGTTCCCGCCTGTCAATGTGTTGATAACGTGTTCCCGCCTGTGAATGTGTTGATAACGTGTTCCCGCCTGTGAATGTGTTGATAACGTGTTCCCGCCTGTGAATGTGTTGATAACGTGTTCCCGCCTGTCAATGTGTTGATAACGTGTTCCCGCCTGTGAATGTGTTGATAACGTGTTCCCGCCTGTGAATGTGTTGATAACGTGTTCCCGCCTGTCAATGTGTTGATAACGTGTTCCCGCCTGTGAATGTGTTGATAACGTGTTCCCGCCTGTCAATGTGTTGATAACGTGTTCCCGCCTGTCAATGTGTTGATAACGTGTTCCCGCCTGTGAATGTGTTGATAACGTGTTCCCGCCTGTGAATGTGTTGATAACGTGTTCCCGCCTGTGAATGTGTTGATAACGTGTTCCCGCCTGTGAATGTGTTGATAACGTGTTCCCTCCTGTCAATGTGTTGATAACGTGTTCCCGCCTGTCAATGTGT